TGGCCAGGAGCGCAGTGGAGAGAGAGGGCATGGAACTGCAGTTGGTCCTTACTAACTCTGGTCTGTACCCTGGAGTCTGGGACCAGTCTCTGATGTGGGGCTCTCTGATATAAGGCTCATTGCTGCATTGCAGAGGCAGGCAAATGCAGTGAGTAGGGAAAGTATTGATTATCATTCGATTTTTTAAAAATCTCTAGGCTGAGCTCGGTGGCTCAGCCTGTAATCCCAGCACTTTGGGAGGCTGAGGTGAGTGGATTTCCTGAGTCTGCAGATTCCAGACCAGCCTGGGCAACTTGGCGAGACTTTGTATCTACAATAAATTTTTAAAAAATTAGTTGGGCATGGTAGCACGTGCCTGTAATTCTGGTTACTTGGAAGACTGAGGCAGAAGGATCACTGGAGCCCAGCAGATTGACGCTGGGGTGACCATGAGTGTGCCACTGCATTCCAGCCTGGGTGACAGAGTGAGACTCCAACTCAAAAAAAAAAATCTCTAAAGGCTAAGAGACAAGTAGAAATACATAGCTAACAAGCAAATAGAGAGGAAAAGAGGAATAAAATAAAATTCTAATTAATTCCAATTAAGACAAGAAAGAAGAGAAAATAAATAAAAATGTAAGAAATATAGAAGAAATCAAGCAATTGTAGATCTGAACTGAAATACATCAGTAATCAGCTTAATTGTATACATGCCTGTGCCTGAGTTGCGCAGAGGAGGTTCACTTTGTAAAGGTTATTCCCTGGTTTAACCACCACTACTGCCCTGAAATCACTGACTCAGCAAAAATTACAGGTAAATAATAATCTTATTTGTTTTCATTAATCTTTCTTAAATATATGTATAGCTCACATTTGCATCAATGTTTAACATAAGAAGTGTTTGGGATCTTTATTTAGAACTTTGGTGGTATTTTTGTGGCCAGAGTTATGCTGTAAAAACTTGGTTCTTGTTTATGTCAATTAGCCTATGGTAAAATTGGTCTGCTTAAAGTCATGGTTTCCAAGAACCTTTCAACAATGTGAAGAGAGGAGTTCCTGTACAATAGAGCAGAGAACTTATATAAGAATTAGGTAAATTATTTAAGACATGAAGCCTAATTTCAAATAAAAAATGGACATTTTATAACAGTAAAGTGGTCTCCCCAACAGGAAGATATAAAAAGTCTGAATTTGTATGCATCTAATAGCATATCTTCAAATTGTTCCTACTAAATAGCAAAAATTGACAGAAAAAATAGAAACAATTACAAAGTGGGAGATTTTAACATATCTCTCTCCATATCTGATAAACAGATATTGATGAAAACTCAGTAGGAATAGAGAAAATCAACCTGACCTAGTTGAAATAATATAAAATACTATATGCAACACTTGCAAAACATATTCTCTTTTCATATGATCATTGGTATAATCACTTTTTTTAAAGTCAACAAATTTCAAAGGATTGCATTCTAACAAGAATGAGATTAAACTAAAAATCAATGACAGAAAGAAAACTAAAAAACTCCTAAATTTAATAAAACTAGGCAATACACTTATAAATAACCCATAGGTCAAATAAGAAATCTCAATGAAAATTAGAAAATATTTTGGGCTTAATGATACTAAAATTACTACATTTTAAAACTCAGAGAATGTTGCTCTATCCTTAGATAGCCTACACTTAAGAAAATGATGGAGAAAACAATAACTAAGATTAAACTGAAAAGTGTCTTGCCTCTGCAACCATTGCATTATGTATAGTACAAAAAAGTTTGAGAAAATTGTCTTCTAGGATTCAAAAATTATTATTCACTTCAGCAAAGAAATTGTCCATGTCGCTGATGAATGAATGAACGCCAACGTGTGTCGTTTGTGTTTCACTTTCATCTCATTAACTGTCAATGAACATTGAAACTACACTTGTTTTTCAATGACACAAGTTGTATTGACTGGGTAGTAATCAAACATTTATTTGAAGTATAATTTTGTCAGAACATGGTTGAATTTTACCCATAGGATGACAATGGATACAAGAATTTGGCAAAAATCAACAAAAGCATTCCTTGAGAATTAATTGGCTATATGGAATTAACAAAAAAAGTATTGCTTATTTTATCATTGTTTGTAAGTTATGTGCTACACATCTTTTATAGCAGTAAAAGTTATGACTAATAGATGTATATCTGAACAATTTTTTGAGATTGAGTTACTAGCATACCTCAAATATGGTGTCCTATTACACAATAGGCTTTAAGGAAAGCTCATTGGCTCCCTCAAGTTATAGAGTATCAGAGCAAGAAGAGAGCTTGAAGGCCAGTCATTCTTAGCTGCTCCCTGTACTAATGTGAAAATCGAAGCCCAAGAGTTCAGTGACACACCCAGAGTGACACAGCCTTTCAGAGAGCACAAACCCACAGGAACATAATAGCCAAAAAAGGCAACTAAAACCCACAGAAATATCTCCTGAGTGCTAAGTAGTTCCAAGTTGAAAGGTCAGCTTTCTAAGGGTGGAAGAACTTGAATCATTCTACAACTTAATATCTAAGAGGAAAGGTGGCAAGGCCATCTCTCTGATGAGATGTGTGATGATCTGGCTTAGATCTACAACCAATAAATCACCATTCTAGTTCATAAGTCAACTTGCATTCATTTCTTCCATTTGCGGTTCAAAAGAGTTTAATTTAAAATCTGTTTAAAGGCAATAAATATTACACAGTTATTATCATCCCATAGAAGAACATACTAAGAACGCAATTCTCTAAATTTGTATTACAAATTTATAAACTTCCCAGCAGAGATGGTGAAATTTTTGAGGATGAGCAACAGCTCCGTTTAGCCTTTGAAGACTTCAGGGAAATATGAATGGCATCATCTGGGGAAACCAGAAGAGAGAGCATGACTTCCAGGACCTGTTTACTGGAGTTTGGCTTGTATCATCTGTACCACATTAAGAGAAACTTTTGGGGAGATTAAACAGTGAGTGCACTCCAGGTGGAAAAGCCAGGAATGGTCATGGGTCCACTCGGAAGAAGGACAGGGTCGCATGTCCTGCTTCTTGGCTGCTGGAGACATCACAGGGCTTCCTGGAGAGAACCACCAGGCACAGGCAAGGTGTGCTGCAAAGCGGAGGGCCACCATGCCCTTCGCCACAGCCAGAACCCCAGGCGGTCCAGTCCATGGCAGAAAGGACAAGCCACCCTGACTCTCACTCCACGTTAATATGATAGACACAGGCGCTGCCATAGTTCATTCCATACTCATACTCAATCCAAAGGAATACCTCTGTCACTCTCACGTGTTGGAGGTGACAATCTCCTCCCAGTGGATGGGTTATCTGTATGACTAAAGCCACTATGGTCTAGAGTGGTTTAGCACAACACAGATGACATTGAGGGAGGCCTCACAAAGTGTTCAGAGCCGGGGGATGGACTCAATCACTCATAGTTGAGAGCCTGGGGCAAGCCTCAGCTTCCTCCTCAGTAGGAAGGTGATGAGCTCATCTCTGCTCAGGAAAGCTGTGGTGCAGATTAGTGAGTTCATAGGAGCGTCCACACTCAGGACAGTGGCTGACATAGCCCGAGCACTCAGCAGGTAATGGTCACATATCACATTGCTGCAGTGACGTTAATAAAGGGGCGACTTACAAAACAGTGGGCCGCAGTCACAGGGTGGGACTCAAAAGATCCTACAGCAATCACACACGCACCCTACTTTAAGGATTTACATTTCTTGATTAGTCAAAAATCGGAAAGTGTATTCGAAATGACCACCTCCCTTCTCACACCTTTAATCAGAGACCATCTCCTTAGAAAACTCGCATGCTAGATTATGGCAGAAGATGGAATTGAGCTTGCCATGCCAAGTTCAACACACCAGTTCTGTACTAGGCGATGTGCCGCATTTCCAGTCGCAGCTACTGAAGGGAGTTCAATGTGTGTCCAAAATCAGTGCACTTCCTCCATTCCACCTCTCTCTACTTCTATCTTTCTCTATACAGATAATGTGTATATGCCAGAGGGACCCCAAAAAATTGGAAATTATTCATTAAAAAATTGTGTTTATTCTTTTTTTTTTTTTTGAGTTGGAGTCTCACTCTGTCACCCAGACTGGAGTGCCG